AAAATACCTGAGAGGCAGTGAAATTAAATGGTGAAGAGCATGGGCTATAATTCCAGCTCTACCACCTACGAACCCACCAGACAGATTTGGGCCTCCGTTTTCCCATCTTAAAATGGGGCAATAAATCAGCATGCAAATCAAAGGAGGGCTGAGAGGATTAAACTAGTTATTAGATCAAAAGTATTGAGAGTTTTTCCTGGCACATAACAATAAGTACTATTTTCTCCTGCCATGAGCCATGGACTTCAGTCACATCAATCCATTCCTGATTCCCTAAACAAGCCGTGTTCTTTCACACTCCCTGTCTTTTCTATACGTGTTGTTTTTTAAGTCTATCATTGACTCACTATGACTGCATATTTATTAATGTGAAGTTCTTTAGAGCAGAAATTATAGCTTTAATTCTTCATGAGGTATGGGACGCTGATTCATTTGATAAATGTTAAACCAGGATCATTATGTAAAATTAGTCATTTTAATGGTTTGTACTTACATGAGAAAGGTCAAGGTGACCCTTTAAAGCTCATTTGGTTTTCCTTTTCTGTTTACTTAAATGCTGACTTCTAAGAATAACTGAAGGATTAGAAAGCTTTCTCCTCCCCAATTTTGCAGGCTCTCATCTTCCACCTACTCCTTTCTCACCATCATTTACAGCAATGTCATCAATACCAACCCCAAGGCAGTCAAAATGATCCTTAAATACTATATAAAACGTAAGGGGTTATTATTACTACTAGTAATACAGACAGATCTTGCCTCTGCTAGTAACTACTGGCAGGAACTTGTCTAATAACATGGAGAGATGCTGTTTCCTGTCTCCCCAGCCCTACCCCCTTCCAGGGAGAAATGCTAACCTACGCAGGTTAGGAGCAACGTGTTATCTCTCGAGTGGAAAATAAATGTCAAAGTTGTAAATAAAAATGAGATTGGTGGGTAATTTGTAGTTTAGAATATTCTGGGGGCTTGGGAGGTTTGGCAACAGGGTAGAATCCAATCAGTTCAAGGATAATGGGTTCTCAGAAGTCTAGGAAAGAGAGGAGGAAAGGCTTGCCTTTCAACACATGGCCTGGGGCGGGTCTCATACCTATGAAAGGCATCTACCTGCAGGGCCTACATCCTTCCCTATCCTCACTATTCTACTCTAATTTCATTATATTACGGAGTAGGTAACCATTAATTATACAGTGTTCTGGCTTAGGAGCAGCATATAATGTTGTCTTAGTGGAAAAATATGTTCCCAGTTCTAAACAACTGGCATATAGAACGCTTTTTGGAAAGTGTCTCATTCATAAACTAGGGACTGCACAGAGTTGGAATCAGTTCCCTGTGGAGAGGATGTGCCAAGGGTCGTGTCCTAAGTTTTGCAGTATAAAGAAGCCAACCTCAGTGAAATGAGTAATGTAGGATCCTTGGCCAAATTCTCAGATCCAAGTCTGGGTTGAGCAATAAATAATATAATGGCAAGGGAGCAAGAGGAGACGAGATGAGAAATGGGAGAAACTGGAAGCCGAGAAAGCCGGAATCAGGCGCAGCAAGGATGGGACCTGCCTCTTAGGAAGCAACTCTCCCAGTCTGCCCTTCTCCCAGCAGTGCGGGGTGGACTCCTTGCCACCAATAGATCTGAACTCCGACAGCACCACTTTAGAGGGCCCTCCCTGCCTATCCAAGGTAGAGGTGGCCCTCCTCAGGATTTCTTTTCTTTTCTTCATTGCACTTACTGCTCTCTGAAATGACCTTTCTGCTTCCTGACTGTCTGCCTCTGCCTAAGGGAACATGAACCCCACAAGGAGTCTTACTCGTGTCAGGCTGAGCAGTGTACACCCGGGGCCTAGCGCGGCGTGTGGCACAGGAAGGCACGCGGGAAATATCTGTTCAACAGTCGTGTGAGGATTCAACGACGGAACCAATGATCGATTTATCTACAGATCCATCCTACCACCTTATCTACTCACCCACGCACCTACTGTGTCTGGTACAGCACTACGACACAGCAGCCCTTCATGACAATTATAAAAGCAGCAAAACAGACGATGATACCGCTATGAGTCAGCAAGCACTTACTCAACACTTTGTACGTGTCTCACAGTACAGGAGAAACCGGCATAAAACACAGCCCTCCCAGGAGGCAAAGCAAAAGTCAGCTACAGATTGATAGCAGCTTGCATGCCAACTTGAAGTCTGCTGAAAGGTAAAAGGCGGTTATGCCATTCGAGAAACTTCCTTAGTCCATGTTCAGAATTCATAGGAGCTCCTAGAAGCCACCTGACACTACGCTGATGTCGATCACTGGGGAGGAAATGGAGGAGTGGCAGTGGTGTGGGCAAAGTAGAAATTGGCTCTGCATCCAGGTATGCGGGGTGCCTTTGGAAAGCCCCAGGGCTCAGTAGCCAGGGTCCACATTGGCCAAGTCATCATGTCCATCCGTACCAAGCTGCAGAACAAGGAGCATGTGATTGAGGCCCTACGCAGGGCCAAGTTCAAGTTCCCTGGCTGCCAGAAGATCCACATCTCCAAGAAGTGGGGCTTTACTAAGTTTAATGCGGATGAATTTGAAGACATGGTGGCTGAAAAGCGGCTTATCCCAGATGGCTGTGGGGTCAAATACATCCCTAATCGTGGCCCCTTGGACAAATGGAGGGCTCTGCACTCATGAGAACCTCGGCACTGCCCCCTCCCGACTATTGCCCACCAATAAAACCTACTTCCTGTCAAAAAAACAAACAAACAAACCAATACCTCTTCCTTTTGACTTTATAATTGAATTAAAAAGTTTACCCTGGGGCACCTGGGTGGCTCAGTCAGCTGGACCTTGGACTCTTGGTTTCTGCTCAGATCTCAGGGTCACAGGATAGAGCCGCACCCCCCCCCCAATTGGGCTCCCTCCTCAGCCGGGGAGTCTGCTTCCCCTCTTTCTCTCCCTCTGCCCCTCCCCTTGTTTGTGCTCTCTCTTTCTCTAAGGTAGATAAATAAATCTTTAAAAAAAAAAAAAAAGAAATTGGCTCTGCATCATTCTCCCACAAAGTCAACCCTTCATAAAAGGTTTTGGGTCCATCTTTTTTCACAGGGGAGCAAGGGGAGGGAATCACCCTAATAGGGTGACCCGCTTTCCCCACACATTGCACGCAGGCCCATTCACTCTGGTACCTAGCCACAGCAGCCTCTGCCCCCCACCCCCCCACTTCCTGTTGAAAGGCAGGGATGCTGCCATGTGGAGCTGGAAGCGACCAAGACCGAGGTTACGTCACTTCCTTTCTCTCCAGTGTTGCGACCGCAGCTGTAGTCCTGCTAGCTGCATTTTGGGAAAAAGCCTGGAGAACAAGGCTTTTACGGTCTCTTTCAGCATTTTATTTCCATGAAATCTTATCTGTACATGGATTCAGAAAATGAGTAAACTCTTTTGCAATGTTTTCAGCATAGAGTTCTTTGACTCACACTTAAAAGTTGGGAAAGAAGACATTTACTTAAGACCGTGGTTTCAAACTGTTTTTTAAGTAGCAGGCTACTTTTTTGTAAATAAAATTCTACATGGATCCTTAATACATTAAACAGGAAGGATGAGGGGCTAGGGGCTCTATCTTCTCAGCTTTCCCCTCTCCCTTTGAAGGGGCCCCTGACATCTCTGAGGAACACACTGGTTTAAGGAGAGAGGGAAAGGAAGTTAAGATTTAGATAAATAAACTAATGAATGGGGAAGAAGGGAAAGCTTTTCCTTAATGGGCAAGGAGAGGTGAACTTGGAAAGTCGCCACTTTGTAACCATCGTAGTAAAGACTGGAGCAAGAATCATCAATTAATGCTCGATCTAAGAGGGAAAGTTTGATAAGAAGCAGGGGATTTGCTTCATTTTCAAATGTCTCACCACTGATTGCTTCTATTAGAAGAGGCAAAACTTTGCTTATCAGGCACACATCACTGGTCTGAGACTCAAAATGTGAATGTCATGTAAGACAAAGAAAGGCTAAGGAAGTGTTCCAGATTAAAAGATAGAAGAGACAGGGCATCTTAATAAATATGATCCTTGACTAGATTGTGTACTTGAGAGGAAAAGAACATCATTGGGACTACTGACAACATATGGACTATGGATCATCAATCTGATAAAAGTACTGTATCGGGACGCCTGGGTGGCTCAGCTGGTTAAGCAGCTGCCTTCGGCCCAGGTCATGATCCCAGGGTCCTGGAATCGAGTCCCACATGGGGCCCCTTGCTCAGCTGGGAATGTGCTTCTCCTTCTATCTCCTTCTGCTTGTGCTCTCTCTGTCAAATAAATAAAATCTTAAAAAAAAAAAAAAGTACTGTATCAGTGTGAAATTTCCTGAATTTGGTAACTGTGCTGTGGTTATGGAAGAGAATGTCCTTGTTCTTGGGGAACATATATTGGAAATATGTGGCCTGAAGGGGACAGGATATGTGTGAGCTACTCTCAAATAGTTCAGAAAAATAAAATACATAATACAGTATTTACAGGTACAGAGAGGGCAGTGGTTTTCTAAGTGGGATCCCTGGAGAAGCACTAGCATCATCCACTTGCTAGAAACACAAATTCTTAGGCTCCACCCCAGACCTGCCAAAGCAGCTGTGTGGGGGTGCGCCCAGTACCTCCAGGGGATTCTGATGCACACTCAAGTTGGAAAATCACCGGGACAAAGAGGATGATAACACAAATGTGGTGAAACATTAAAATTGGCAAAGTCAGGGAAAGGGCATATGAGAATTTTTGTATTATTAAAACTTTTCTGTCAGTTTGAAATTGTTTCAAAATGAAAATGAATAGTAACAACAAGACTATCCTGGGGTGATCTACATACAGATGTGGACAGAAAGAGCCCTTGGAGGCAAGGAGGCAAATCATGGGGTTCTTGCAGTCACCTGCACAGGAAGTGGCGGGATCCAGGAGCAGGGGGGCCGCAGCTCCAGTGTAGAGGAGCAGGATGTTTGTTTGCATGTTCTTCAAATAACATATCTCCTTCCTGCAGAAAATGTGAGCCCAAATCTACTAACCTGAATAAGAGAGTCCGGCGATCTCTATAAAGAGGTCTTCTTCAGAAAAGCTTTCGGGGAGCATGAGGAAAGCTGTGGTCACAGCACTCTTCAGATTTTTATCGAGGGCTGACCTAAGAGCAACATTCTCATTCATTGCTATGATTTTTACCTGCAAAAAAGCAGAACATTTAGAAGAAAAATGTCGAAGTGGACTATCGGTCAAGCTATGGGTTTACACATGCACTGGAACTATCCCAAACTCTTAGCCCTGAAGATCTTGGAATATTAGGCCAGTAGACACGAAATAATTATTATTCTAATAAGCAATCCCAAGGGTTTGTGTTTTATGCCAGAATTAAAGATATCATGATACAGGAAAGAAAACAAAATAAATACTTCTCTTAAATGAGGAAATTCTCCATGGGTTTTAAAAAAGAAGTCAGTATAAATGAAATAAACATCCTTTGGGAAATTTTGTATTTTTAAATTTTATAATCTCATTGTTATTTACTTAATTTTATGGTAGACAAAGGCATTTTACTTCTTTATTTAGAACTCACCTCTGTCCTTATCCATATATAACCTAAGCACTTCATGCTTTATTTTGAACTGATTTTGAACCTGACTAAGGAAAAAAGGAAAGGAAATTAGCTACAGTAGAAACAGTATGGGTTTGGGGGTAGGTATGGGCTCAGGTCTAGGTATTTACTAGCTGTGTGAAATTGGGCAAATTACTTAACTTCTCTGAACTTAAGTCCTCATCTATAAAATGGCGATAAATGTGCATCAAAGAATTGTTACAAAGATTGAATCAAATAATAAATGCAGAGCACCTAATGTACTAGTGAATGCCTTGATCAATAAAAAAGGATTTTTCTCCTGAATACACAGCAGAAGGTACTCTCTTTGACTTTCCTCAAATCCATTAAAATACAAATTGCTCAGTCTGTTCTGAGACTCTGTTTTGAAGACTGCACTGTAGTTAAGAAAATGTGTTCAAGACCCAGCTCCATCTCTTACTAGCTCTGTGACTAGGGCCATAATTCCTTATCAGTAAAATGGGGTTAATAACAGAATCAAATTGATAAGGTTGTTGGTTAGTGAGCTTCCTTCTGTGTCTTTGGGCGCAATACAAGCTTCCCTGGGCTAGAGATTCTCACCTTTAGCAAGCACCACAATCACTTGGGAGAGCTTGTTAAAATGCATATTATTAGGCCCATCCCCCAGTATTTCTGACTAGGAGATCTGAGTCAGGCCTGAAAATATACATTTCTAACAAGTTCCCAGGCGGTCCAGGAACCACATTTTGAGAACCACGGCTCTCAGGTATATATTTAGAAGTAGAAATGCCAAATGGCTCTTCAGAGTGGTTGGGCCAATTTACACTCTTGGTATAATCTTTTTAAACCATCAGGCTTAATCAGGCTTTAAATCAGTCAGGCCGCTTCTGACTGATTGTCTATAAACAAGGAAAGAGTCTACAAATCCCTAAAAAGGACCCTCACCTATCTGAAATGTATCCACCTTCTGTAAACCATTTAGTGCTGTCACCAAATCTTCCCCAATTCTAGAAAACAGGGCTCAAGTTGCTTTTTATCTGTCAAATAAAGATGATTTCTGAGAAAAATTAAGATGGCACTAAAAGACATATACTATCAAAAAAAAAAAGGCATACACTATCAGAAAACTAAATTAGAATTTTATTAGACAGCAAGGAGAAAGGCTGATGTATGTCTCAAAGTAGTTTCTTCTTTTTTTAACTGCCAAAAATGACAGTATAAAACATAACTATTTTATTAACTTAAGAGTCTAACTTCTATCTTCTACCTTTTGTCCCTACTTTTTTCTAAGGGAATATTTATAATACCCAAACCTCTCATATGGTAGGTAAGCCACTTTATTCAATACTACCAATTCCTCCCTTGTAATTACAGCACTTAATAGCCCTTAATTAAGCCTTTCAGCACTTGGGTGAGTTTAGTATTACTGCAATCATCTGCAGAAAGGAAAACGAAGGTGCAGTCCAGTAGCATGACTTGCCCAATGTTGCATAATGAGTTGATGGCAAAAATCAGGGTAACACCCTTATACTTGGCAGATCCAGCTCTAAATTTTTTGAATTATTCTCATGCATTCAGTTAGGTATCTGTTCTGGTTAACTTTTTTGTTATTGTTGTTCTGGTTAACTTCTTATCTTGAAAGATGATTAAAAGAAACGTGAAGTTCCTATATAACTCCAATGTTCATTCCTTGAATAACTTTCCCAGACTTTGTATTCCATATAGAATCACAGATCTAGGAGGGCAAGCTTCTCATCTTACCAATGGGGAAACTGAGGCCCAGAGGGTTAAAAGATCTTCCTTTGAGAAGTAGCGGCATACCAGTAGAAGGTCCCTGATTTACCCAGAGCTCTTTCTACCACCCTACAAAGCCTGTTTACTTCCAAATTCCTGTTCTTCATCCTCAACCAGGTCCTGCTCAATAATTCTTCGTCCTCTCTCTTTTTGGTGGCTTTTACAGAAACTCAGTGAAAACAGAAGTTATTCTGAGATGCTAACAAATGAGAGTAAGTTTGGGGAAATCTTCTTATTTAAAGCAATACACTTATTCTCCCAGAAAGTCATTCTATTTCGGTTGTAAAAAAGCAGTCTGTTTGCTATTTAAGTTAAGAGAGTAAAAATAAAAGCATCCTTACTCAAAGGAAAAATGTCAATTCAGAAGACTGCAACTGTGCTGATCTGGCTCTCCAGTGTAAGGTGACCTAGGCACTTGTCTCGGCAGCACTGTTATTTGTGGTTCAGAGTGAAAAGCCAGTGAACTCTTGGGACACTGCCAGAGAGGCCTGGGAAAAAAAGAAAGTCCTCAGATTTGTGAATAGCTGTTTGTATCTGACTGGGAATGCCCCAACCTGAACCGTATAGATAGCATTAACACTGCCAAGGGGAAAATCGTTACTGGAGAGAGGAAGGGGTAAAGCTTGAAGGGACTTTCAACTTGAGAGATTTGTGAGTACCTTTCAAGATAGAAAAAAAAGAGTCACATGTGGTCTCCTCTATAATACAGTCACATGGAGACAGTCCTTGAATTGCAAACAGTGAAGTTATAGTCACAAAGAACAAGGCCCTACCTAGCCTTCAAACACTCAACCAGTAACCAAATGGCACTTCCCATAGAAGTTTTCCATTCCAAATGGTCAGAAAAGTTAATTTTTCTAAATGGTCACTGCTTGAGGACCAAGAAGAAACACTGAACATCCGAGTTGGATGAAACCTTATCATCTACCTGTTGGACTGTGGGTTCTTCCAGGGCCAGCAATGTGGTGTTATTTTTTTATTCTTTTAGCATCCACAGAGAAGAAACTTGTCTCTTGAATAAGTAAATTAATGGCTCAAATTTTGCATTTCAAAGGCTAGGGGCACAAACATTTGCTCACAGTCGGGCAGAGCCAAGACCAGTAAGTCAGGTCTTCCAGCTCTCTTTCAGGGATCTATAATACCACTGGGATTTTTCTAGCCACAAAAAGTAAATCAATGAAGTTATTATATGATAATAATTGCAAAACCGTGAATATACTAAAAACCACTGTACACTTTAAATGGTTGAATTGTATGATATATGAATTCTATCTCAATAATTTATGTTATAAAAAAGCTATATTACTAGCAAATAAAAGAAAAAATATTGGAATGAACACATTAAAATAAATTAAAATCCTCTTAACAAGGTAGCAAAATACTACTGTATGTCAATGAGAATGCTTTAAAAATTCAAGCCAAATTATCTATACACTAAAAACATGAAATACAAAAATCCAGACTTATGTTAAATAAATTAGGAAATGACTATTAATATTACTTTAGGGTTCTTTTGACTTAAAAAAGAACTGGCCACAAGATTCTATTAACTACTTTAAATTTCATGGCTCTTTTCTTGAAAAATGTCTTGGTAAGTGACTCAGAAACTTAAAACTGCACTAGAAATAAAAATGACTTATCTAACCTCAATTATGGGGTACGTTAATGGTAAAGTATGATAGAAATTTAATTTACACTCAATTTTTTTCCAAAAAGTCCATCTTTTTAAGCAAGGTACTCCTTTATATTTTGAAAATATTATTAATAAACTTTATTTTTTTAGAGTAGTTTTAGAGTCATAGCAAAACTGACTGGAAAATACAGAGAGTTCCCATACACCCTCTGTATATTCCTTTTAAAGACTTGAATTGGGAAATTCTGTTCTATTTGCAATATGGAAGACAATTTTAGAGCTTTAGACAATATAAAATACCTCTTTCTTTTAAAATATATAAAAACAAAGAATTTGTACTCATATTCTCACAATTCTAAGACCTTCACCTTTTTTTTTTTTGTCCACAAGGCTACCAACCCTGTCTTTTCATCAGATTTGTTCACGTTTGATTACTATTTGCTGCCATCTAGCGGTAAAAATAACTGGTTTAAAAATATCATTACCACTGACAATTCTGATTAGCAGTGATTTCCATGTGACAGGGAAAATGCAAATGGTGAAAGAGTTAATTCACCCATTTATAATTTCTTACCATGTGTTATGCTCAACACTTTCAAATGAGTCTTAAGATAGACTAATTTTCTTGAGTTATTAGTTTAGTAAGCTTGAAGAACAGTCATTGTTCTCAATAACATTTTCTTTCCCAAGTTAGCTGAGAAATGCAGTTTTTATCAAGATGACTGTAGCAGCTACTACTGGTCTTGAATTGCTGTTTTTATTTTATCAGGATATGTGACATTTAGATGAAATCTGAGGTCATTTCCAGTGCTAAATTCTGAGATTTCATGGCGTTTCATTTTCTAAAGCTTATTTAAAAGAAAAAAATTGAAATATTCCAAGCACAATGCATAGCACAGAGAATAATACAACATTTTCACATTCAAAATCTCATTTTATCTCAAAATAACTCTGAGATAGGCAAGGACAAAGAGAAAGGAATGATCATTTCCTGAGTATCTACTAAGTGCTAGGCATTTTAGATCTAGGCATTTCCCAAATGCCTTTTAAGGTTGATGTCGTCAGCCTAATCCAGAGAAGGATGTCCCAAGGCTCAGGGAAATTAAGTCACTGGTGCAGGGTCACATAGCTGGGGAGTGTCATAGCTGGGACCCAAACCCTACATCTGATTCTAAAACACCCCTGTTCTTTCCGGCTTTATCATTCTGCTTCCACTTGTCAACACCTTTGTGAGGGCAAGTACTGTATTGTTACTCCATCCTACAGATAAATTAACTGAGGTTCAAAAAGATAAAACAAGTTTCCTAAATTCACATAAACAGCTAACAAGTGGCAGGAATGAATAAGACCTAAGGCTTCTAATTCCGCTTTCATTACTATTCCCATTAAGCTACATATTTTGTAAATTTATTTTATTTTTAAATCTTTTTTATGTTTTTAAGTCATCTCTAATTACATCATGGGGCTTGAACTCACAACCCCGAGATCGAGAGTTGCACACTCCACTGACTGAGCCAGCCAGGTGCCCCCATATTTTATAAACTAAAAAAAAGAAAAAAGAAAGAAAAAAATTTGGAAGGAAAATTAATATTTACAAATTTTCAATTATTTCTATTCATTCAATTATTTTACTAATTATCCAGCTTTACTGGATTATCTTTATCCAGCTTAGAAATGAGAAATTCATTTACATAAATATGAAATTATTTTAGTAAGCCTATTGTTTCTGGACTTAATAAAAAATGTTTTACTGGGGTGCCTGAGTGGCTCAGACAGCTGAGTGGCCAACTCTTGATTCTGGCTCAGGTCATGATCTCAAGGTCCTGGTATAGAGCCTCAAGTCAGGCTCCACACTCAGTGGGAAGTCTGCTCCAGAATTCTCTGCCTCTCCCTCTGCCCCTCTTCCCGCTTGCACGCACATGCGCACACACATTCTCTCTCAAATAAATCTTTAAAAAAATGTTTTTACTGAAGTAAAAATTACATAGTGAAATGCACAAATCTAAAGAGTACAGCTTGACAAATTTTTATATATGGACATACCCATATACCTATTGCTCTCATCAAGTGTTTCTGGATGTTTTAATGAGCTACACCATTAAATTCTAAGTCCAGAAGCAAGGCAAGAGAACTGTGACCACCCGTGTATATTAATAGAGATTTGGGTGGGGGGAGGGGCAGAGGAGAGGGAGAGAGAATCTTAAGCAGGCTCCACACCCAGCACAGAGCCTGAGGCAGGGCTCGATCTCACGACCCTGAGATCATGACCTGAGCTGAAATTAAGAGTTGGATGCTTAACCGACTGAGCCACCCACGTGCTGCTCAACAGAGATTTTTATGACACAACCAAGTGAGGTAAGCTTGTATAAATCCCTAATTTTTTGCCATAACTGACAAAAAGGGGAGCAGCAGAATCACTCTTATGGGAGACATTTGAGAACAATCCATGTACCCTGTTTTGGGGCCTGAGACCCTCTAACAGCACAAAGAAAATTGTTCCCTGCTGTGAGATTAGCAACTGTTACTATTTCGCATAGTTCTTAAACTATGAAGACTCCTTCATAGAAAATAGGCTATATATATCTGCAAAAAAAAAAGGAACATAGGGCGCCTGGGTGGCTCAGTTGGTTAAGCGACTGCCTTCGGCTCAGGTCATGATCCTGGAGTCCCTGGATCGAGTCCCGCATCGGGCTCCCTGCTTGGCGGGGAGTCTGCTTCTCCCTCTGACCCTCCCCACTCTCATGTGCTCCCTCTCATTCTCTCTCAAATAAATAAATAAAATCTTAAAAAAAAAAAAAAAAGGAACATAATATGCAAATACAATGTCAAAAGTTCAAGTCCTGGGGCGCCTGGGTGGCTCAGTCGTTAAGTGTCTGCCTTTGGCTCAGGTCATGATCCCCGATCCCCGTGTCGGGCTCCCTGCTCGGCGGGAAGCCTGCTTCTCCCTCTCCCACTCCCCCTGCTTGTGTTCCCTCTCTCTGTGTGTCTCTTTCTGTCAAATAAATAAATAAAATCTTAAAAAAAAAAAAAGTTCAAGTCCTTTGGGGCGCCTGGGTGGCTCAGTCGGTTGGTTGTCCTCTTGATTTCAGCTTGGGTCATGATCTCAGGGTTGTTTGATGGAGTCCCGAGTCAGACTCTGGGCTCAGCAGGGAGTCTGCTTGAGATTCTCTCCCTCCCTCTCTGCTCCTCTCCCTGCGCGCTCTCTCTCTCTCTCTCAAATAATAAATAAATAAATCTTTTTTTTTTTTTAAAGATTTTATTTATTTATTTGACAGAGAGATAGAGAGAGAGAACAAGTACGCAGAGAGGAAGGCAGAGGGAGAGGGAGAAGCAGGCTCCCCGCTGAGCAGGGAGCCCGATGCGGGGCTCGATCCCAGGACCCTGGGATCATGACCCAAGCCGAAGGCAGCCGCTTAACCGACTGAGCCACCTAGGCACCCCATAAATAAATAAATCTTTAAAAAAAAAAAGTTCAAGCCCTTTCCACCTTTTTCCTGTTTTGTTTCTATTAAAACTCAGGGGGAAGCCTATCCCCCAGAGCCTCCTCTAGCAGCATCCTAAATGAAGGAAAGACTTTATAACAGGATCTCACCACTGGCCTGAGGACGGTAAGAAAGGGAATCAGAATCTACTCCCTTCTGAATGACTACCTGATTCATTCACTTATTCAACAAATGTTTTCTGAATGCTTACTATGTCCCAGGCACTGTCCCAGGCACGGCTGACAAAGCGTGCACCACGGCACTTACGTTCTGGAATGGTGATCTGGGTTATGCTGACAGAGGTTCCACTGAGGCACTGGGCACCTCTTCTGCCATCCTCCCAAGCCCAAATGCAGTGACTCTGAGCTTTATCCACTCCACAATTCGAGTATCCTTAGAGAGAAGGCAGGAGTAGCATGGGTAATATCTGGGTATTGTTTGGCACTAAATTCTATAGGGAGTAAAAGGAGTCTGAAATTCATTTCTGTTTCTTGGCGATCCATCTCATTGCAATCACACAGATCAAAGCAGGGTGCGGTTTAGAGAGGAGAGAAATCCCTAACTGTGGCAGCCAATAAGACACTTGCTCACCGGTTTTTGGAGTCGTCCAGCAACATATAAGCTATTCCAGTTGAGGAGATCTTCAATTAAAATGTTAGTGCTAATGACCCCATATTTGATAAGCTAGAAAAGAAAAGATATGGGCATGAAAGAGAGCAAAATACCACACTGTTGCTTTTGCAAATGCAAAATATAAGGAAAAAAATTTCTGACCAGAATAGCACGTTGCTTTCCAAAGCCACTTAAAATCTCTGCCTTGTGAAAACACACATCTCCACCAAACTCCTTCGCAAAGGATTAGTTTCCAAGACTGATTTGTCCCTCAGGGATGCGAGTTCAAGTGATCACTATCTTCACTCAGGCTCTTGTGATGTTAAAGGCACAAGGGCTCTTAGAGGCTATCTAGCACATATTGGTCCTCACTGAATTAGAAATAAAAACTGGGTCTGCACCACAGACAGTTTGAGAAGCAAAGATATAGTTCATACTTCTCATTTGAGAAATAAGCCTAATAAATGGCGTGCCCAAGGTGGCACCATTAGTAGCTGAGTAAAAACTAGGTCCCTGAATGTCGGTCTGGGCTTCCAATATTCATTTCATCACAGAGTACAAGACATTTTCTTTAAGTAGAAGTTTTCACCAACATCTTTTACATGGTGAATTTCTCTTTCACTATTAAGTATTTCCAACACTTTTATAATTACAAAGCCACATCCAAAAATTAAACATCTTTATCAGAGCTAAACACATGGAATTATGGCCAAGCTCATTTCAAAAGCAATTTGTACAAACCTTGAATGTAGTTGTTCCAGGTTACAGAATCTCATTTGCTTCAACAAATAACTTCAGACTCACTTTGCTAAACTTCAGTATCCCAACAGCCTTCTCAGGCTGCAAATATCTAAAAAGTAGCTAAAGAATTTCAATTAAAAAGTACAGTCCCTTTGGCATATAATTATGCCCCAACATTTGGTTACTGGAGCTTGTAATATGGTTTGAAACCACTAATTAGAGATAGGCTCAGCATAATACTAATTATGGAGAAAGAACAAAGCTACGTGTTTGGCATGACTAAAGTAGATGTGGAAAACTGCACTGAGCCACCATCTTCCCTCCAATCTGGACACAATACAGCAGAAAGCCCTTCTTAAGGCAGGCACATAACAGCTGGGAAGTAATGGAAACACCCCTGGCCCCCTGGAGGGGCCTCTCACGTTATAACTAGTTACACGACCTTCTGGAAGTCATGTCCATTCTCTGAATCCTCATTTCCTCAACTGCAAAATGCAGGTTGGAGCAGGATTAGACCTCAACCAGAAAAGTAAACATTTGGCCCAAATGCTATCCAGACATCACCAATCAATCAGAGTACTCATTCCCGCCAAGTTCAGACAGGTCTTCAAAATCCTTCCTAAGTCAGTACTCCAACCTCCTGCCCTTCCAAGCCTGGTTCATTGACCGGTAGTATCAGCATCACCTGGGAGCTCATCAAAAAATGCAAAATCTCAAGCTCCATTCCAGACCAATTGAATCATAATCTGTATTTCAACGAGATCCTCAGGCGATTCATCAGCACATCAAAGGAAAACTTCTCAAAGCCATCAGCAGCACAGAGCAGAACCGGCACAGCTGCTGGAACCTGTCTGTCAATGGCAGCCCAGCTCATCTCTAGGGGGTATATGACTTAGTCCCCCATTGGTCCTCTTAGGCTGCAGTCCTGCCCAGTTCTTGGCAGCTCTCTTAGAGACTGGGTCCCTTCGTGTGAAAGTTCGGCAGGGTTCCTGCCGTCAGCCAGCCCTCGGCTGGGATCTGTGCTTCTTATCTGCTCTCCAACAGGGAGATGGGATGCATCCTCAAATTCTACCCACTTGCTGGCACCAAGAGGTTCTTATCGCGTGGCATCACATGCTCTTGACTACCTGTGATACCCTCATCCTTAGTGGGCCTGAGTATTCGTCCCACTGACCAAACCAGTGGTTCTCAAAGCGTGTTTTCCAGACCAGCAGCATCAGCATGATTTGGAAGCTGTTAGAAATGCAAATCCTTGTTACTAAGGGAGTAAATCTTAAAAGTTCTCATCACAAGAGAAAAAAAAATGTAACTATGTGTGATGATGAATGTTAACTAAACTTATTGTGGTGGTAATCATCTTGCAATACATACATACATCAAATCATTACACTGTACACCCAAAACTAACACAATGTTATATAATTATATCTCAATTTAAAAAAAAAACAAACAAATCCTCAAACCTCACCCCAGACCTACGGAATCAGAAACTCTGGGGTGGGGCCTAGCAATCTGTGTGTCCAAGAGGCCCTCTAGGAGGTCTGATGCTCACTCAAATTTGAGAAGCACTGGCCAAAGGCAATAATTAAAGATAGTCTTTCTCAGTCACCTTTATTCAGCAGGAATGTAAACGTTTCCTGACTGCAAGAACATATACAGTCAGCTAGTATTCTAATATTTAATAACCGCCCAAGTTAAGACAAACATCCAAAGTCACTTACCCTACCATCACACATGACCAATGGATTATAGTAGACTCCAGCACCATAGTTATTCTGGATAGTGGTGATAATCTTGGGCCCCAAAACTTTTAGGAAAGAGTAATGGTTCCAATTTTTTTTCAGGTTCTTTGAATGCCATGCAACAGGGTCATCTACTGTGAAAACAAAGTCCAGCATGGCATTCTGGGAATGAAGAAAAGAGAATGATTTTAGTTTTAATTCCTCGAAAGGCATCTATATAGAGTGGAAAGCTCTAAAATTCTATGCCATTATGATTAAGAAATAGAGGACCTGAGCTGTCATCAGAAATTTAAGCAAGTCTCTGGAACCAGTCTGAGCTTGTTTTCATCAACACGCATAGTAATAACAATGCTTCCTCCATATGTATCGTCCTGCCGGCACTCTTCCAAATACTTCATATGTATCGTAGTTCCTTCTATCCTCAGAACAATCCTACAAGGTAGGTACTGATACTATCCCAATTTTATAGGAAAGGAAACCAAGGCACAGAGTAAGAACCATGCCCATGGACACAAAGCTAGTGAGCGGCAGACAGAATCTGGTTCCAAATTCTGAGTGCTGAACCTTATGCCACATGGCTTTCATCTAAATGTAGCTAAATGTGTTCCACTTTTCTTCCAGCTCAAATAACACAGGATGGATAAGCTCTGAAAAGCATTATGTCATAGGAAATAAGTTATTTTAACTCTTACTCATTCTCCAACCACTCACTGAGCACCTACAAGGAGCTCTGATAGATCCTGGGGTAGAGGTAAAGAAAGTCTACTGGGGAGAATAGACAAATTATCACTAAATGAACTTGATAGAGGAATGCAAAATGTACTAATTTCACTCAGAATGGGGTCAGAACAGAAATGAGAGATTTTGCTATGAAATTACATTCTTTTATCTGATAAATCTGAGTCTTGAAGAATGTGCAAGAGTTAAGCAGGCTTAGTGGAAGTATAGGGGGCAGGGAAGGGAGTCTTGCTAAAGGAAAGCACTCTTGTGGTTACAAGAGCTAGGCATGTTCTGGGTGCTGCATTTAGTTTGATATGCTGGAACAGAACACAACCAAGGGAGTCCAGAAAGGGAGGCTGGGTTGCCATGCTAAAAAATTTTCCTGCAGAAGCGCTCACTGGAGGGAAGGATGATTAAAGGTGGGGAACCACACAGGAGGCTAACAGCAAAACTCCGGGTGAGAAATGAAAAGACATTAAGTGAGGCACTGAGGGTAGGGACTGATCGGAGATTTTGTGCTGGAATCTATAAGACTTGTTATCTTGTAGGGAATGAGGGCGAGGGAAAGGGAAGGGTTCCTCCAGGCCTACCCAAAGGAAAATCTCCATGGAAAAATGAAGAGGTGGCTATTGAATCAGGAGGCTAAGGCCTGCTCTAAGTTTCTCAAAAACCACAAACCACTGGTGAAACTTAAGATTTGGGGTGGACATGTTTTTTAAAAATGTATAATTATGTTAACGTATGTTAGAAAAAATAACTAGCCTATAATAATCTGTAATTTCTTATATACCCACCACCTATAATTTTTCATATGTTGTCAACTTAAAGCAAAGTATTACTTAAACACAGTATAGTTGGGAAACAGAAATCCAAGCAACAGTATAGACGGCCTTACCAGGAAGTGAACAGGCAAACTTTAACCTAAAAAGATTACAGTCAGGTGTCCAAAGCCAGGAGGCCCTATCTCTATCATTTCCTTAGTTTAATAAACTAAGATGACAATGAATTGGTAGGCTGTGCATGAACTACAGCAAGTAAAAATACGGTTCACCAGAAAACGTCTCTATTTAGACTCTTGCTTTTTTTGTTAACTGAGCAAAAGCTCTAAAGCCTTAGTGGAGAAAGTCAGTAACAGCCTCATTTAAATGAAAATATCTGCCTGCCACTCCACTGCTCTATGTCTTGAATCTTGTTTCCACCTTGGAAGCAAACTTTTTTCCCCTTTATTTACAGAAAAAAAGTCTGCAATCATAAGGCAAACTGTACCCTCACTGCTGTTGCAGTCAGGCAACTTTGAAGAGTAACAACTTCTGGTCCTAAATAGACTCTTGTTAAATGTCCTGAGCGTGGGTAAATATACTGGTCACCCATTAACTTTTGTAGGTAACTTCACTGCATCTGCCCTGGCCCTACAACTACCCGTCAGCTTCCTGAAGTCAGGAGCATCATTTTGTACTTTCTCCCACAGCTGCAGATGAGACTCAAATTTGGCTACGCATTAAAATCACCAGGGAAGTTTTTAAAATTCCCGAAGCCCCAAGTCTCATTCCAGACCAAGTAAATCAGAATCTGCACAAGTGGAACCCAGGCATCAGCATTTTAAAGTTTGTCAGAAAACGCCAAAGATCAGCCAAGGCTGAGCACACTGAACCAGCACCGGGCAAGTATTTCCTGTCTTCCATCTTGCCTCTGCATCAGCTTTGCCCTCCGCATAATTGCATCTCCTGTTCCAGACCGAAGTGGGCTCCTACTTATCCTTCAAAACTCGGCTTATGATGTCATTACACTAGGAACACTTTGCTACGGGTTGTATTTTGCTAGTTGATACGTGCAGTGCGCAGAGTAGAGGAGCAGCTCTAGAGCTCTGGAGGGATCTACGGCAAAAGGGACGTCGTGGGAACAGGCCGATTCCCGGCGTGGGGCCTGCCCCGGGGCCAGGCTCACCTTCTGGTCTGAACTGGGCCCCACCTGGCGGTACACCCCGGAGCCGTAGGCGAAAGCCAGGCTCAGCTCCTCGGGGAAATGAGACAGGATCTTGCGGAAGGCCACCCCCGAGCTCTGCAGCGCCTGCAGCGCCATGGGGCTGAGGCTCAGAGACAGGGACCCTTGGCGGAGCAGGGCAGGGCAGAGGACAGCGGGCCGGGGAACCGATACTGGGGCAGCCGGTTAAGGTTGGGGAGATGGAAGTCGGGGACCGGCCGGGACAGCAGAAGGCTGCAGCCGGGGGTGGGAACTGGAGGGACGGGTGAGGACTCGAACCACAGGCCAGCGCCAGCCGAAGCCTGAGAAGCGCAGGGTCAAGGCCCGGGTGGCCGGCAGTCCCGACCACGCCTCTCGCGTGCATACGCGCTTCAAAGGCGCAAGAGAAGACGCTCCTCCGCGGGTGGGGAACGCGAGGGCTCCGTGAAGACCCCTGGCGGTCGGAGGAGCGCGCTGCAGGCTGGCCGCCCGGACCAGTGACTTGGGGACAGGGGTGCGGAGAGTGTCAGCTAACTGAACTGCTTTTGAGCCTTAAGAATCCGTTTTTGTTCTGGACTCAAACACATTTCAGTAAATGGCTATAAAATCATGCATGTGTATTGCAGAACATTTTTTAATGAGGTGAAATCCACAAAGCTAACATAAAATTGTACACTTTATGTGCAATTCAGTGGCATTTAGTGCATTCACAATGTCGTACAACCATCATCTCCACCCAGCTCCAAAATCGAAGATTTTGAAGGTTTAGGAAAACACGCATAAAATTAAAATCATGCCCAATTCCACCATCCAGAGATTACCACTGTTAAGATTTGGCTGTGATTTTTTCCCTCGAAAGCCCTTTTCAAATCCAGTGATGGACATGAAAGTATTCCATGAATGGTAAAAGACTGCACCAATGTTCTCTGAGATTTGTATTTAATTCTAAGGGTGGAGGCCTCTTTGCCTCTGGGATTGGTCTCACAGAAGGGCACATCAAATGCAATTTCTGGAGGAAACAGGACCCCAGGTGAGAGAGCTCACCTGTTTATGTATAACCAGAGAAACTTGTTCAAAATCACAGGATGTACTTTAACTTCCAGGACAGAGACTTTTCAGATACTCTTTTCTTCTTCCCTGATGGACACTGCCTTTCAAAAAGCAGAAATAGCAGGGTGCCTGGGTGGCTCAGGCGGTTAAGTAGCCGACTCTTGATTTTGGCTCAGATCATGATCTCAGGGTCTTGAGATCGAGCCCCCTATTGGCCCCACGCTGGGCATGGAGCCTGCTTCAGATTCTCTCTCTCTCCCTCTGCCCCTCCCCCTTCCCTCTCCAAAGTAAATAAGTAAGCAAAAAGCAGAAATAGCAATAGCTAAATTTGGGTAATGTGGATGCCATTCACATGTAGTTTTCCTTGAGTCCCCTCCACTACCTGGTGGAAGGAGGGTTTGTCTCTCTTTTACAGATAAGGAAACTAATTGTTAGAGAAAGCAGTGTGCTTAGATCACATTAGCCTGTGGCAAAAGTGGAGCTAAAACCCAGGGCGGAACATCAGCCTGGATTGGGAGGGAGAGCAGTTAGGATGCTGTTACCATAGTTTCACCAGGAACTAAAGATGCCTGGCCTGGGGTGATAGAGGCAGGGAGGGGATTAATTCGATTTGAAAAAAGATTATGTGAATTTAAACTCTGAGCCCCGCACAAGAGGTAAGTGCTGAGGATTTAGATGGCTAGACCAGGGCTGATGCCTTGCAGGAAGGAGGTCAGGGTCTGTAAAGGAGACAGACAAGCAAACCCAGAACATCACATGCCGTAATGAAGCTGGGGTGCCCAGAACTCCGCAGGAGCTCTGATAAGGGAGTGTTAATTAGTTCTGGGTGTGCGGGGAGAGACCAAAGGAGGTTTTGCAGGGATAGCATCTGAGCCAGGGCTTGAGGAATGGGTAGGAGTTTATCAGGCAGAATATAGATGGAAGAAATTCTACCAAGAGAGAATTGATAGGGCAAGACGACAATAATAATAGGTGATATTTGTTTATACATTTATTATTCCCAAGCGCTTTCTTTTTTAAAAATTTTAATTCCAGTGCAGTTAACATACAGTGTTATATTAGTTTCAGGTGCACATCGTAGTGATTCAACAGTTCCATATATTACTCACTGCTCAACAGGATAAATTTCCAAACACTTTCAATACTTAGCTCTTTTCATCATTCCAAAGACCCTAGTAGGCAGGTTCTCTAAAATCCTCATTTTTCACATGAGGAAACAGAGGACCCGATGAGAGAAGCAAATTTCTCCAAGGCACACAGTTAGGAGAGTGGCGAAATTGGGATTTGAACCCAAGGCTCTGGAACTCCAAAGGCCAAGCTCTTTACCATCATGTTTTAGCGCCGTCTAAAATGGCCGGCCTGTGAGGCAGGAGAAGGAGAAAGAAAATCAGCTGCTTCTAATTTGTCAGCCAAGGCTGAGGAGAAGCAGCAATAGCCAAAGGGACAACCTAGAGACCAGAATAAGGACTGTGTCGCATTCTCCCAATGTGAGCACAGTCATCTGGGTTCATTCGGACCGAATAGCACCCTTGCCCAGATTGCCAGACTCTGAAATTACAGAATTGCATAATTACACTAAAACCTTTCACCTAAATATAGTGAATCGAGCTCTACTAGCCATGTTTCTTTTGTTCTTCCCTGGAGGAAATAACTCAACTTTGTTTTATTTTGTTTTCTCCTCTCTTTACAAAAGTAATCTATGCTCAAAAAGTGTAAACATTACAAAAATATCTCTGGCCATCCCCCAGAGATAGCCACTGATAATCTTTGATACCTGTTCCTCCAGATATTTTCTACATATATATTAACATTAAAAAACATTAAAAACATTTCAAAATGGAGTCATATGCTAGATACTATTTTGCAGTGTGCCCTTTTCACTTAACATATCAGGGACATCTTTCTGTGTCAAATATATGGGGATCTATCTCATTCCATCTATTAGCAGCAAATTTTTCTAAAATATGGATATGCCATCATTTGTTTAAACATTTTCATATTGGTTATAGAGATTATTTCCTTTTTTCATACATGCAAACAATGCTACAGTGAACATCCTCATAGACCTTGTGTACATGTGCAAATATTGCTATAAAGTAGATTCCTAGAAGTGGAATTGCTGGGTAAAGGGTCTGCACATTGCTAAAATCCCCTCCAAAAGATTATACCAATTCACATTGCCACCCACAAGGTTCAGCCCTTGGTATAAATAAAGATTCTGCAATGTTTCTCCATTTTCTCTCCCTTATGGGCGTTCACAACTAATCATCAGTAATTTTCATTTTCACAAACACTTTCCTTCCTGATAATGCAAACCACCAGCTGGAAAGTTCCATCACATGCCTGTGTGCATTTTGCCTCTCCCCAGAAAGATGCAGAAGCAATAGCAGAGAATGCATTTGTATTCTTCAGCAGAAATCTCCTTGCTTCTAGCAATTCATCCATTCCTTTTTAAATTACCGTGGCTTGCTAAGTTAGAAGCTATTAAAAAGCCTTGGTGTTCTATGTAATCACTTTAGGGTTCTGTTGGAACTCTCATACCAATGAAATACAAACATTAGAGAGCCGTTTAAACTACAAATAAATGCCACTTGATTTCAGTGAAAGTTGAGCCTCGTTTTTCTGATTTATCCAGCTGTTGGCTTTGTATCTTTAACAATGACCTTATTAGGTTGGGTTTCACTAGGACAAGGCTCAAGTATTCCATCTTTTAAAAAACGCTGTGAAATCTCTATAATTTTTATGTCTTAGTTTTTTGTTTAATCAGCGTTTAATAAGTAAAGGACAAAAATATTCCGGAAAAGAAAATCCAAGCTCTGTGGTTCTTATGATTAACCACATGTTCCATTTATCTGCCAATGGAGGTAAGGAAGAGGGTTCTTGATCTCTGTGTGTCAGAGGAGGGTCACCCTGTCACATCTGTCCATTCTCAACTGATTTTTCACGTATAATAACTGGACCAGACTGAGGGCGTCTTTCATTATTTTTAGGCTCTGACCAGGGGCTCTCAGGTACCACCTGAGTTTGAATCTGGCCCCAAGATTTAACAGCTGTGTGACCATGGGCAAGACAACTGAGAAGCATCCAGTGCCTTCTTTTCCACATCTGTAGAATGGCCACAGCAATAACACCTACCTTACAGGATTGTTGCAACAGTAAGTGAAATGGTATCTAGAAAGTACGTAGAATAATGCCTGCCACAGAGTAAGCACTTAAATGTTCTTCATCTCATTGAACTCTTAAGAGACAATATACAAGAGGAATTAAGAAGCATCATTAAGGGCGCCTGGGTGGCTCGGTTGGTTAAGCGACTGCCTTCAGCTCAGGTCATGATCCTGGAGTCCCTGGATCGAGTCCCGCATCGGGCTCCCTGATCAGCGGGGAGTCTGCTTCTCCCTCTGACCCTCTTCCCTCTCATGCTCTCTCTCATTCTCTCTGTCTCAAATAAATAAATAAAATCTTAAAAAAAAAAAAGCGTCATTAAACCTAACGTCCTTACGGTTTTTACACAAAGCAAAGCATCCTTAGCATTTTACACAAAGCACTTTTCCGGACATGATTTTTATTTTATTCTTAAAACAAATCCTGGGAAATGAGTGGTTATTATTCCAATTTTACAGATGGATAAACTGAAGTGTAGAAAACGAAGTGATTTGCCTGAAGGCACAGGGCTAATGGCGGCTGCTGTCAGTACAGTCTCCAAGTCTAATTGTCCTCTTGCACCGTAAGAATAACACAAATCATTCATTCTCCCAAGGAATGCATTCATTCATTCATTCATTTATTCTCTCATTGAAATTTTCCTCATCTTTTAATCCTAGCTCAAATATCACCTCCTTCTAACTGGGAGTAATTGTTCTTCCCTCTGTGCCCACATAACCTTTGCTTATAGCTCTCCAGCCCTTGTCTTAAATATCCGATGTGTCCATTAAGAACAAGTATTTAAGGCTTAGGGACTCTCTGAGGCCAGGGGCCATTTCTTGTTTATCTTTCTACTCTTTGGTGCCTAGCACAATGTCTGAAACAAAGTTTCTGCAATTGAGAATGTCATGGGCTGGTGACAAAAAATAAACATGTATACAAAGCAATTAAAGTAAAATGCAGACAAGGTCTGGGCCACAGATGTGGTGAGATAGCCCTTCAGGGTTTCTGGGAAAGCTTCTTGTGGGAGAAAGTGACATTTGGGCTAGGTCTTGAAAGATGGCCAGCAGTTCACCAGATAGGGAAGAGTATTTAAAACTTTCTAGGGAGAAAGAACAGCCTCTACACCGGCTCGGGGAATTCTCCCTTTGGGAGGACACTCTGTTTTCCAATGG